CGCCCTCGCACTGCTGCTGCCAAGGGGCTGTCGGCGTGGCTGGGGGGGAGTTCGGCTTTCGCGTTTGCAGCTGCGCGTTGTGCGGGGCGTCGTGGTCGTCGTCGTCCCCGGGCTTTGGCCGGGATCCCCCGGTATTCTTCTCCGGCGTCGGATGTCGCCGCAGAGATGACAGTCGGCTTTTAATGGGTGAAGGCTCCGCGTCGTCGGTGACCCCGTCGGTGCCCCGTTGAGAATTCATTATTGATCCCTTCGAGTAGAGCAGATCCCCGATGTCCGCGGTATGGGATGAAGGGTACAAATTCGTAGAGTCGCCAAAGTCCCCGAATTCTGAGACGAGCGGTTTAACTCGTGCGTCGTTGTCAAACGAAGCGCTTTGAGCGTGTTTTATGGGGATGTCGCTTTTTCCGCGAAAACTTGGGTGAGTGAAAGCTGAAATTTTTTTCGAGGAATCCGTGACGTTAGTGATAGACTCCTTTTGGGGGCTAAGGACATTATTCGGAGTGCTACTGGAGTTGTTCAGAAGCGGACTGTTGGGCTCGAAAAGGCTATCGGGTGTAGGAGGCACGAAGCTATCGGGAGGCGCCTTAGAACTTGCGGTCGAATCACAACGAACGAACCTTGAATTGCGAACGGACGGCTGACTCCTGTCTCGGGCAGAGCCGTCGGCGTTGGTGGCCCGCCGGTGTTGCTCCCGCTCGATGATCCGAGGTGGTGGCATGGCGAAATTGTTTTGGTTGATGTTCAGAAAATCACCGGCGTAAACCTCCTCCTCGTCGTCCACTTCCTCGGCGAAACTGGTACCGGCTTCTTCGGTGGTGGCGGTGGGGGAATTATGGCGATCGTTCCATCGGTTGTTGGGGGGGCTTAGATGATAAGAGCCTCTCGTCGGGGAACGCGCAATCGGCATACTGCCCGAAGCGTGCGGGCTGTTAGGGATTTGGGAGTTCAGAAGATTCGAAGTGGGGGAAGGCTCTGGGGGCATTAGGGTCATTTTATCAAGTTGTATTGGGTGACGCCCTTGACTCCCGTTGGTGTTCAGTCGCCCAAAGTCCGTGTGATGGACTCCCCCTGGAAGACTCCCATGGGAGTGAACTTGATTGTGAGCTATGGGATGAGTAATTCGATCATCTTGTATTGCTAAGTCCGTTTGTTGCGGTCTCGATGGGTTATTAGTGTTTTCTCTTGAAGCAATATCGATTCGGTCATTATTGTTGAAAGCATTTGAGGACATCGCCGAAAAAAATGATTTTTGTCTCTCAGGGGAATCCAATGCACTGAACTTGTTGTCTTTGGAGTCGTCCATCTGTGTGCAAATATTTGCCAGCTCACGGTAATTACGCAGAAGTTGCAACTGATGGGAGATGCGTGCTTGCAAAGGGTCCTCTGGGGTTTCGGGGAGACCTTCAAAGGTTTCAAGTACAGGTGGAGATGGAAAATCTAAAAAGTTGGCTTTCATTTCGCCCTGTGAAGGATAATCCAAATTGCCTTGTGTTCCCTGACTATTTATTGGTTGACCTCTGAAATCACCCTTTGAATCGCGGCTCAACATAGGATTATCGCCATAAAATCCAGATTGTGGCCTCAGATTTAAATCATGTGTACCTTGGGCGAACGTCGATGCGTAAGGATCCTTTGGAATGAGATCTCTTTCAAGAACATTATAACAGTGATTATCTAAAAAATTATGAGTACCCTTATGGTGCCGATCCTGCAATCTAACTGAAGAGAAATCATGCGATGTATTGCAACTCTCCTTTTGAACTGTAGTCTTTAGCCCTGTTGATTGAGGACGAAAGGGGTCTTTGAAAAGAGTATTATCGGAATCGTCAACAATGTCACCATACGACGGAGATGGAGAAAATAGGATTTTTGAAGATCCTTGTGGGAGCTGGCTCAATGGGGTGTTTCTTTGACGATCCGACAACATTTTCGGCGATGATATGAGATTCTTGTTGTTTGCAGTTGACGTTTTTCTCGAAGTTAAGGAAGGGCGAAAGTGTTCATCCTCGATCAGTGCAACAAGCCTGTCCACATCGTCAGTTTGCAGTAATTCTTGGACGAGATCTTCCTCAAAATTACGTTTTTGCTCATCTTGTGCACTTTCACCACCGTTAGAAGATGCCTGAGGTGTTTTAGAAACGTTCATGTATTGTATTACAATTTTGTTTAAGGTTTATTTCAGCATAAAGGATACAATAATTCTAACAATTTACTATCAACTTGTTTATTCAAATCGTTTATGCAAGGAATAAAATAATACGAGGATTTTTTGAGGAAAAAAAGTATAGCCGAAGGTCACTGTAAGGTTTTTCTATAAAATTCGATCTATTGATTCAGTTTTTAAGATTACAAATGAATTAAGGTAGTGTTGCTGAAACTAAGAATATTTTCCCTAGAAAGGAAGAGAAGGAGAGTATCTATGAAGAAAAAGTGCATTATGATTTAGATAAATATTCTAAAAAGAGTTTTGTTATGTTATTGAAATACGTATTTAAATACTGAAGCGCACTTCAAATATATATATATATCTATCAAAACCGCCTGTTCTTCATTAGATAACCAATTCAGACTTTCCTCCGTTGATTGCAATTTCGACTGGAATTCGTTTTCAGACTTTGACTGAACTCAACACATTTTTTTCCTCCTTAATTGTGCGTATTCAGACGACGGTTTCCTTCCGAAACCTTTCATTGGCAATGCTGATGCCATGTCTTCATCAGAAATGAAGAATTTTTTTTGAGACAATAGAAAAACTAAATCCATCCCTTTTCTGCTTTCTTTTCTTAACTAGATCGTCAGGATGTCATGAAGACGATCCAGACTTACGAGTTGTGTGGTAATAAAGCAAGTTCAGCCGTAAATTTATCTAAAAGATGCAATTTAACATATTTCAAATGGATTGAAATACGATTTCACTGTGATAAAGACTGATTTTCAAATTTACATACTGTTGATGAAGCGGTTATTGTATTGGTATAATAATAAAGTGATATCATTGAGCCTTAATTGATTCATTAAAGGAAATAAATTCGTGGAACTTAATGAAATCTGATTTTTCTCTTGTCGACAAAAATCAAATTCCATATACTCAGCAACCAATCCAGTTACCAAAGGTATCAATATTTATTTGTTTGAAAACCCTACTTTCCCACTTTCCAAGAACAAGGTCAGACATCATACTTTTTTCCATTTTAGCTAATAATTTCAGTGTAGTCTAAAGTTATGATTGGTCTGAAAGAGAAAGGAGAGGATCTATATGAGGTATTCATTATCATGAAAACAGAAGCCCGCTAGTGTAAACGTCTTCACGTATTGAAATCGCATTTTGGAGAACCGCTTCAGCATTTATACGTGGCATATGCTCCAAACGATAAAGTATTTCTATTTTATCACATTCGACCAATTCTTCCGTAAGATTAGATAAAAGAGCCAGACAAACAAAAGGGTGTGAAGAGAAGGTTAGGGTCTCGCCGAGATCAACAAGATAGTAGTCCCAGATCCGCAAAAGATCTTCCTGGTGAAGGCGATCAGCTAGCATAGTGCAGAGCATGCGTGGAACCCAGTCCATCGTTGTGATGCCCTCTGTAAAAAAATGCCGGTAAAGCATCGGATTAAGCGTATGAAAAAGCATCATAAAGTTTCCACAGTGATGCTGTAGGCATTCCTCATCCTGCAAAGGGTTCCCATGATGAGTGAGAAAGTTGTAGATCGTATTCACACAATAAAATGTATCCCTTGCACTAGATTTGATCGCCTGAAAAGGCAATACGAGATGGATAAGGATCACCACCTCTTCGCGGGAGGCCTCGCTGTGGATCGCTTGCAGCGATTCCATCACGTCATGGAGCCATTGCCGGCATTCCGGGCTATGAGAGAAGGGCGCGCGGAGCTGCACCGCCGCGGTCGCGCGCTCCCACCCCGCGGATGGCTGCCCGTAGGCCGCGCTAAAGGGCCTTACACCGTTAGTTTTGATGGGACGTCCGCCTTGAGTGTAAGGGGGCGGGCGCCGGAGGAGCTCGAAATCCCGCTCCTGTGCCCGTTCCATGGTCATCTCGCTTGATTTATCGGTCAACGTCACCCCGAGCAGATAGCGGTAGACCATCTCACGATATTTAGGATCAACCCCCAGACGAGCGGCCTCCCGCAGCCGCGAGAGGTCGACCACCGCCTCGGCGTCGAGGAGCTCCTCAAAAATTCGCGCATCGCTCCCCGCAAAAGGGTCGTGTGTGGGGCTTTTTAAATATCGAGCGCTAAACGAGGCTGAAAGCGTGGAGGGTATCATCCGCGTTGGGGGACTACTCACTGGGAGTTAGGGTGAATACAACACAAGCCCCAAAACCTGTAGGGGATGGTGGCAAGCGTGGGGGCAAAAATGACAGAAATGTCACAGGGCGAAGCTCCACAAGGCGATTAACAGGGTGACAGGGGTGGTGCGGTTTGAGAATGAGACCCCCCGCAGAGACCTTAGGAAATAAGAGAAAAATAAGTCAGAAAAAGATAGGAAAACCGAAATGGAATAGGTAGCGAGAGAAACCGTTCAGAAAAGAAAGAAAGAAAAAAGAGATGGGCGTTATTTTTTCAGTTATCAATCAAGATCACTAGACCATGATGGAAAAAGCGCTAACAACCAAGTCAAAGTGTTTAATCGTTGCTTTCTTCAACAAAATATCATATCGTCAGATTCCGCGCTCATCCATGGTTTTCCCAGTGAAATGAGCCGGATAAAAACACTTAGAAGAGGTTACCATCCACTGTTTACTCTAAAATCACCAACAACAACAAAATTAATATCAATAGATTTAGCTATTTTTTTTTTATATAAGGCCTGATCTATCCCCTTATTTCTTCTCAACAGATCAATATTGGTGATTAATACTGACAAAATGTCACACATTCATTCACAAATGGAATAGATACTTTTTATTTTTCGTTTAGTTATTGTATTGGTGCTTCTAAAAGTTTAAGAAACCAATAAAAGAAAATCGAACTAAGTGCTTCGTTTTCATCTTTTATTTTATTGATAGATTTATCGTCGTATTCTTAGAGAGTGTTTTATACCTTGATCCCAAAGTCCACTACATGGTGCTTGCGTATTGCCGCTTGAACACTTCTGACGGCATCTGCCAGACCTTTTCCTTCACTGCTAAAGACACCTCCTCGTTAAAATATTTCTTTCCCTCCTCCACAAGATTGCTCTTTTGCTCCTCGAAGCCGCTACCTCCCCTGCCAAAGAAGTGATCGGCGACGATTTGCTTTTCTGATGAAATTGCTATCATGTTAAACATGGAAATAACGACGGCTGCAGTGTACATCGGCCAAAGGCGATCACGAGTCCACCCCCAAGCTACCTTAATGGCCGAAATTGTAATTCGGAGGCCTTTTTGAAGAGTCTCACTTTGAATAAACTCTGACATTAATATGAATAGGGGATAATATTTTTCCTTGATTTGTTTACTTATCAGAATGGTGCAAGAAACCAAGAGCGAAAGTTGATTTTTCCTTTAAAAAGTCATAGCACGGAACGGGAAATCAATAAAGGTGAAAGGAGTATAAAAAATGAGCATACTGAGGTTAACATATGTAGTATATATTCTTACAAATCCCTTCACGATGTATACAAAGAGATTGGAGAATAAGAAAAGATTTTCTGTAAGCCTTTCTTTATCTATCGGTGTTCACCTTTTGCTCGGGAAAAAAAAGAAACTGTTATGTTATTTGCATGCATGTAATATTGAATCTAGTCATCGTATAAATCAAAGACAACAAATCGGTTATTCGCAGCGACCACGAAGAATTCCCTTGCACGGCTCATCGTAGCACGTATAGTAGACCCATTAATCGGCATTCCACTAACTTCCACTCCCACGTTTGATTCCTCGGGGTTGTTAGAATTGATATTCCTTACTCCCCATTCTCGAATCAACGATTCTTCCTCCTTTTCTTCTTCTTCTCTCGCTTCGTAAACTACAGGATTCCCCATATCGTCATTAAAGGTAACTACCATAACATCACTGGAGCTTTCCCGTTCGGCAGATGCAGTCGAACTAGGATTCATTTTCCTATTCGCATTCATAGGAATATAGACAAATAAATGTCGATCTTCACGCAGATAACCATACCACACAGGAATCAACTTATTAGACGACACCTGAATAGAACCCATGGAGGGAGCTTGCAGAGAAACTGTGTTCGCAGAAGAATTGAAAAAAGGCGTTTGACCAATTAACGAATGTCGGTTTATGGAAAGATTCCCGTTATAGATCCCGCCACATGCTCCTTTCAGAAGCGCTTGGTTTTCTAAGGAAGGAGCTGACACCACTACTACCTTCACAAATAAATGAGGAAAAGAAGCAGGATATTCCTTTTCTTCATTGCTTTGTAAATCCGTCTCTTTGTTGGAATCAACCTCTTCGGAAACCGTGACGTGGGGCTCAAAAAAGTCAATAAAACATGCTTCAGTTGCACGATTATAAGCAATACCCTCAATACGTTGAGCTTCAACCCGATCTTCCCTTTTATACGCTTGATTCAAAAGACGCAAATCCTCCTCCTCCTGACTTCTTTGATTGAGCATGCAGCGAATGAGTCTTTCAAGGCTACGGCTCCACTTTGTAAAATCATCCACCACATCAGACATGGGGGAATGTGGGGAGATGAGGGTGTTCTTTCCGGAATAAATCCGCTCAAGCGTACGCAGGAGAGTTGGATGACGCTCTACCGCAAGCGGCTCGGTCGAAAAGTTCATCAAAGTTGCCTTTCCTTTAGCATTCACCATGGCGGCGGCAGAAAAGTACTTGTGCCGCTCGCGCGAGGACGTCGCTGAGGGGGTGAGTAAGAGCGAAGAACGATGCAAGACGTAGTGAAGGAGATCCTGCTCATAACTCATCTCAACTTGAACACCGCGCAGGAAGGTCTCCGCGCAGCGACGAAGATCTCCGATGATCTCAATCACCTCCGCGCTAAGATCACGCATGGATAATCGCGATGGGGTGTAAAATCCTTCTTTGGGGGGCTGAACTTTCCCTTCATAAGTGTTCTGGTTAAGAGCGGTATTACAATCGGCGAACGTGCTCAACAGGCTTATGGAGGCGTCATAGCAACGATAACAGGTCCGCTCCACCACCTTCACCACATGCCGCAAAGTCTTTGAAAGCTTTTCAAGATCCTCCACCAACGCGAACTTGTCAATGTTGGCATAATATGCCATCAAATTCGCTAAATTTGGCTGTGTAAGACGCTCGACAACGACATCGCGCAGCAAAAGCGCCTTTGACGGAAGATTTAAGTGCTTTCTGGTGCCATTCTCGAGGACGCTACGCCAGAGTTGTTGTTGGCTTTGCATGCAGATTTCAGCCATACGACAGTACTCCGCAATACAGCAAATCATCGCGGTACGCGTATCCACCATTCTCGTTAGTAAGAGACCAAGGTCAATTTCAAAAAGCTCGCGGCGGGCAGTACTAGCAGAGGAATTGTAATTTGAATTCGAGGCACTCGTGGGTTTCACAAGGAGATAGACTCGATGCGAATAACGCACGGATCGGTGCACCCACTTTTCCAAGGTTATGTGAGCCTCTTCCATGAGATTTTTACCACGATATTGTTCAAGCTGATTAGAAAGCGAGAGCAGGGAGTGTGAGGTGAGGCTGAAAAAAAAGGAATCCCTCGGTATCTGAGCTGTTCGTGCTGCTGAATGGGTTTCTATTTCTTGCTCATCATCACCTTCCTCGCACTGTAGATCAACCTCGAGGTTCGTCAACTGTGGATGAGTTTCTTGCACAGGCACTGTAATAAGCTTCTCCACATGGATTCCATTTCCCAAAGAGTAAGGCATACCAATCCTTATAAAGCGAACCTCCTGCAGGCCCCCCACAACAAAACTAAGACCACCGGCCATGTCAAGAATCATTAAAATAGCAACCGCACGCCTTGTATCACCTTCGGCGGAGGTGGGATCCCCTTTTTGCGCGAAAGACGTTTCCACTTCGTCCAAAAGTGAGGAGGAGAGATCCGGCTGTAGTGAAAGGCATTCCGCGTAGATGCCGTTCGTGCAAAAGGAGAGATCACACGAGCGGCGTTGAGAGTACGGCACCGTTATCCAACTCAGCGCCGCAATCGGACCGACAGCGGTGGATATCGAAATCACCGCGGGTTCACTTAAAGCGGTAGATGACGTGTGGGAGTGTTTCTCCTCTGTCGGATTTCCCCCTTCGGAGGGTTCGCCCCTGCCAGCCTCGGCGTGAGAGACTCCTTCAAAAAGGATAATTGAGGGAGCCTCCGCGTGTGAGACCCCATTGAGAGTGTTTCGGATTCGTCCATCGACGTCAAGTGGACCATGACGAAGCCTGGAAGAAGATGTTAAATTCTCATGGGTTCGCTTAGCGACAGAGGCTTTTTGGGAAGACTTTGGGATAAAAACACGCACCAGATCACTGCTTTCGACATCCAGCAATAGTACCACACCGCAGGGAAGAGCAAAGGTAAAAAGCCTTCCTGACGGAGACCAGGCGGCCATGCCATCTGTAATAAAAGGCACCACATTTTGTTTGTACTCGTTATTAGGAGGCGTACGTATAGAAGCACCCAAAGAACTCCCACGCGCTTCACTATCGGGTATTTTCTTATATATCATTTCTTGTGCGCACCGGAGCTCTTTAGATGATGTTATGATCTCATTGATGTATCCAGTGGATAGTGGCAAAGTAGCGACAACAGTAAGAGTGGTGGAACGATAAACGGTAACTGTGGTGGACGTGACCACCGCGAAGAGATTCATATTATGACATGCAGAAACCAACAAAATCGGGTCTGTTATAGCTTTAGAATGCAGAATTCGCATTGTTTAGGTCAAGGTATAAGATATTCAAATTATAGTTCTAAGTATTTGTCTTATTTTATCCAGAAAAAGTGATAAAATTGTATATCGTTGTGCGTATGTGTTAAACGTGTATTCGGTATCCCTGCAAAATAGGAGATGGTGCGCGACACTTGACACATAAAGCGCACAGAATAATATTAAAAAGAGGGATGAGATAAATATATAAGAAGAATGACATCATTGTATAAATATAAGTGATTTAAGAGGGTAAGTTTCTCATTTACAGAAACATATAGGGATGTGCCAAAGAGAGAACATACTGATGAATAGGGTCATTTAGGGTGTCATTTTTTTAAAAATCTATTGTTGCATTAGTAAGTCGTTAAATTATTTTTTAATAGCACCTTTTCTCTCTTTTCTATTATAGACTTGTCTTGGGTTTCCACAGTGTCCATATCCCAGTGCATTCTTTTAGCACTACCTTCCCAGGACGGTTATCATCCTCAACGACCTCAAACTTATCTTTCATGCGGTCACCACCGAAGAAAAAGCGACACAAATGCATAGCCTCCTCCATGTTTCCAAAGATGTAGTCTGTGCGCACCCAACTCCTCTCAAAGCCAAATTTCGACTCCAAGTGATCGCCGAGGACGGTGTGCCGTGTAGGGGTCTCTGAACCATTGCCGAGTGTTTCGATAATCACCACCGCCGCCTCCGATCGCGAGGTATCAAGAAGTTGAATAAACTCCCCGATCACCGCGTCCACCGCGGCACGCCAGACCCCCCTTCCCCACTCCTTACGCACGAGGTAGGATAAGGCCCAGGCGCAAACCACAACATGGCATCGCACGTGAGGCCTGGGCGGGGTCTCTCCGCCATGCGCAAGAAACCCATCCTGAATAGCTTGAAAGCTGCAGGGGCGACAAACCAAACGGAGGGTGCGGCCCACGGGGCTCCGGGATCTTTCCCCGTTTTCTTTGTCCCCTTTTTTCTCCTGATTTTCGCGGGTTAAAGCAAAGCGCTCCCCCTCCCCCGTGAAAGTCGCGGTTGTGTTGGGGTTGATCCCGGCGGTGGGCAAAAGGTAAGCCGCGTCGTATATCCCAGACGCTGCGGCGGCTGCAAGGGTATTGCGAAGGCAGCGCCGCAACATCGCTGGCTCCAGATCATAAGCGAACAGCTCCCCCAAGGTGGTGTAATGGACCAGCATCGCCCCAATCCGACCAGTCCCACAGCCGAAGTCCGCGACCCGCAGCACGTCGGCCTCCCTG